CAATACAGAGGTAACATAATCTCATTTTACTTTCTACATTCATTGGAGATATGTTGGTATTTTGGTGGCTCACATACAAAAAATAACATTCTTAGGAGAGGTAACTGGGATTGGATTTTAAAATAAGATTGTGTCTAATTTAAATGACAATTTCTATGAAGTTGTCTTATTAAAGACATTTCTTTTTGATTAATGATAATTTTATTGAATTTGGAAAAGTTATTCATTTCAATGACTATTAAGTTAAAACTTATCCACTCTGAAAAAGAAATCAGTCCCATACAGACTTGGAAATGCTTAGGTCTGTTGGGAGTTTTATTCTGGCTTTGAAAATTTAAGTTGAATTTCATTGAAACTTTATCTTGTTACATTTATTCTTTATTCATTTTAGAGAAGAGTTTCTCTTTTTCTTCTCCAAGTTACGTTTAGAGGATATTAATGTTTGAGGTTTAGAAAACAGAGAAAATCCATTTTATTCAATTTTCCCTTTAATAGCTCATTAAAACTGCTTCCACAAATAGACTGGTATTCTTCACTCAAAATCTTTTCTGCTTCTTCACTTAAAACATTCCTAGGCCAGGCGGTGGTGGTGCACGCCTTTAATCCCAGCACTCAGGAGGCAGAGGCAGGAGGATCTCTGTGAGTTCGAGGCCAGGCTGGACCGACAGCCTCCAAAACAATACAGAGAAACCCTGTCTCATAAAACCAAAAAAAATTCCTATATTTTATTTTTGATTTCTAATGTTTTTAGATAACATTTAAAATATTCTCAGATACATACATTTGACTAGAAAATGCATGTTTCATATCTGTTTCCACTTACTTTGACCACAGCAGAAAGCCTTAGGATTAGAACGATATTGGCTAAGAACAACATGCCACACGCCCTGATCTTCTAAAACCTAAAGCTCCCCAGCATTGGTGGTGCTTCTGGGAATTCTGTCATTAAAAGTACTGTGTGTAACTTTGAAATTCAGTCCATTCCTGGCAGCTGGTTAGGTAAATATCAAAGTTCACAAAGGGAGAGTCAAAATAAACAATGTCCAACCAATGTTTCACATTAATATTCTGAGTTCATTTTATATTTATTAAACAATATAGTAGCATTTATTTTTATTGTGTCAGTTTTATAGACAGTTAAATTGAAGTATTTGGAAAGAAAGATGAGAGATTAAATTTCTTTTCTGCCTTTTTATTGGCATCATAGTTGGATGTGAGTGTTGGCTGATTTTCTTCTTTGGATGCTTGCATGGAAACTTCTGGTACCATGAATTCTAGTTCTCAGAGAGGAAGTGTCCAGAACAGTTCTAGCTCAGTGGCCTTCAGACCCTGTGATGAAGTACATGGTGTCTTCAGCAACAATGACTTACCTTGCATCTCTTGGGGACAATGAACTGCAAAAGCAGTAGCCTGTTATGTTTTGGCTCTATTAGACAATCATGACCAAGAATTCTAAGGCATTCTTCCCTTTGCCCAGCATTGCTGTATTTTTTAGATGATATTTGGTTTGTGGCAAGAGTACTGTCACCCTTCAACCAAATTCTCATTTTAACAATATGTCTATTCATACATGAACTTACATGAATTACAGTTATTTAGGGGGTGGGTACTTAATAGCCTGATTCATATGACTTTTCCCTACAACCTTACTGTTATTTTATCCTCTGCTTTGATGTGGGATGACCTTCTGAATGCTGTGAATTCATTTTATTACTATTGGCTAATGAAGAAGCTGATTTTGACAGTAGCGAGGTAGAACAGAAAAAGAAGGTAGATTCTGGGAGATGACAGCAACTGTTGGGGAAACAAGATGTGAGGTAACAAGCCATGCACCTCATGGTAAAATACAGATCATTAGAAATGGGTTAATTTAATTGTAAGATCTAGTTAATAATAAGCCTGAGTTAATAGGCCAAACAGTTTGTAATTAATATTAAACCTCTGGATGGTTACTCGGGAACTGGCAGGCAGGAGAGAGGCATCCAGTTAAAAATGGAGCCCCATCTCCCTAATTATAACTTTCTCCATCAGAACATTTGCAGGCTGGTATTCACATTTCATTACCCATCCATCGTACTCCTCTTAGTGCCTGTGTTACTGGCTTTCTATTCAGAAAGTCATCTCTTGTGCTATTCCCCACTTTCTCTTCTATCAGGTTCAGTGTATCTGGTTTTATGCTGAGGTCTTTGATGCACTTAGACTTTAGTTTTGTGCAGGATGATAGATATGGTTCTATTTGCATTTTTCTACATAGTGACATCATGTTAGACAGCACTATTTGTTTAAGATGCTGTCTTTCCTTTTATTTTTCAATGTGCATTTCTGGTGTCATTATCAAAAATCGGTGTCCACATGTGTGTGTATTTATGTATGTGTCTTCAATTCAATTACATTGAAAAACATGTGTGGATTTTTGTTGTTGCTTGGTTTTTTTGTTTGTTTGCCAATACCATGAGGGTTTTTTTAGTGTAGCCGTATCATACAACTTGATATCAGGGATGGAGATACTTCTAGAAGTTATTTTAATTTTTAGGATTGTTTTGGCCATTCTGGGATTTTTATTTTTCCATATAAAATTGAGACTTCTTCTTTCAAGGTCTGTAAAGAATTGTGTTGGAATTTTAATGGAGATTACATTGATGTTGATTGCTTTTTGTAGGATGGCCATTTTTAGTATGTTAATCCTTCTAATCCTTGAGCATGAACGATCTTTCCTTCTACATCAAAACAACTTAAGTTTTTATTTCCTTCTTCAGAACAGTTTTTTATCACATAGATCTCTCACTTGTTTTGTTAGAGTTAGTTCAAGATGTATGATATTATTTGAGATTATTGTGAAAAGTGTTGTTTCCCTGATTTCTTTCTCAGACTGTTCATCATTTGTACACAGGAGGTCTATTTGCTTTTCGTTTGTTTGTTTGTTTTTGAGTTAATCTTGTGCCCAGCCACTTTGCTGAAAATGTTTATCAGCTGTGTTTCCTGGTGCAATTTTCAGGGTCATTTACTTATACTATCGTATCATCTGCAAAGAATAATACTTTGAATTCTTCCTTTACAATTGTATTCCCTGGTCTCTTTCAGTTGTCTTGTTGCTTTAGCTAAAATTTGAAGCACTATGTTGAGTGTATATTGAAGAAGTAGACAACCTTAGTCCAAACATAAAGTCTATTCTATTTTCCCTTCCCAGAGATATCCATGCATCCCTTCTAGACCTCTCCTCTATACCTAACATCTGAGGGTCTACAGATTGTAACTCAATTATCATTTACTTAACAGCTAATACCTGAACGCATGCCATATTTGTATGTCTAGGTTACTTCACTCAGGATTATTTTTTTCTAGTTCCATTCATTTGACTGCAATTTTCACAATGCCATTTAAAAATAAAAACATCTGAGTGATGTTCCATCGTGTAAATGTACCACAAGCGATAGCTCTTGTTTGAGATGATGTGGATCAAGGAGACATTTATAGGATGGTGTGGAAATATATCGCAGAGAATGTGATCCTAATGAGGACTCCTAGTAAAGAGGGAGACAATCTCAGTCGGCCATCTTTTGTAGTCAGGCAAGGCTTCCAGCGGCGTGTCTGGGTTGCATTCAACTGAATTGTTGACTAAGGGGGTCCCACGGAAATCCCCAAATAACCTAGGCTGATGCTGAAGTGTTGCTCTCTGCAGAATGACAGCAGGACCCCATTTGAGAGAACAACACCCACACAACTCTGAATATGGAGAAGTTCAACCAGTGCCTACATAAAGCCTCACCCCTATGTTCTCGTATCTGTTGTGGGAAGGGATTCTTCAGGCTACTGTAAGAGAAGTGTGCCACAAAACCTTTGACCTACAATCTATCCTGTCTCCAAAATATACTAGGGCAATAATGGCACAGAATTTGTGGGAGTAGCGAACCAATGTCTGATTTTACTTAAGGTCCATTCATTGAGAACCCCAGAATAGAAACTAGACAGCCCAAAGACCTAAGGTAAAACCAAACATGACTAATCTAAAAAGAATTAAAAGTCAGGCCTCATGAAAATGAATAGTTTTGGTGCGGCAAGGGACAATGCCATTTGGACACAGAATAATCTATAGAATAAGACACTGCTAATTCCACAATCGACAAAGACCTAGTAACCAAAATATATAAAGAAATCAAAGAACTAGATATCAGAAAACAAACAAAAAACAAATAATCCAATTAAAATGGGGCATATATCTAAGAATTTTCAATAGAGGAATCTCAAATGGCTGAGAAACACTCAAGAAATGTTCAACATTCTTAGCCATCAAGGAAATACAAATCAAAACTGCCTTTTTGTGCTTTTGTGTATTTTGGATATTACTCTTCTGTTACCAATATAGCTGACTGAGATTTCTTCCCATTCTGTGGGCTTCTTTTTCCTCCCATTGATGAATGAAGAAGTTTTTAGGTTTTATGCAGTCCCACTTGTCAATTGTTGGCATTAATTTTTGTGCAAAAGGAGTCCTATTCAGAAAGTTCTCTCTTACAGCTGTATCATGTACGATACTGTCTATGATTTCTTCTTGAAGTTTCTGTTTCAGATTTCAGTTTTAAATCTTTGATATGGTTTTTGAGTAAGGTGCTAGATATGGGTCTAATGCCATTCTCTTGCATATGGATATCCAATTTCCTCAGTACCATTTGTTGAAGAAGCTTTATATTCACCAGGGTATGTTTTACATATCTAGAAGAAGTATTGGGAAAATGGTGGCTAGAGACAGATAGGGAAGTAATTACATCTATTTCCTTGTCACTGATTTTTGTGTTAAGACATGTCATGTTTTGGGAGCTTTGAATGAACTACTTTTGCCTTTGTGTCAGCAGTCTCTCAGTTGCTAGATTATCATATATTGATACAAATTTATACTTATGAATAAAACTGAGTTGAACAATACTTCAAAAGTAAAATTGAAACTAATGATAACATGCATGCACCTTAACTGAACAAAGGTGTATGACTAAATTCTATTATTGCTTTTAATGTGATTTTGTGCAAGTGGGATAATTTATGTGACCATCAATGCAAATTGTGAGTAACGGTTGAGAGGTTGCCAGATGATACCCATTTTTACACTTAAATTCTTGCATACTTCCTGATTCATAATACCGTTTTTGCTTTTCGGCCCATTTGAAAATTATGTTATGCTTTTCCAAAATTTCTTCTGATACTGTGCATGGACCTAAAAGAAAAAAATATTGTAAAATGTCAATACATAAACCTACAGAGTCCATTTTCAAGTAGAGTGTATTATGTTTAAGACATTACTTGCTAACTTCTTAAAACAGTATTAAAGCCGCACATAAAGTTAAGTAAATAGAAAACATGATCTGATGTAAACATTACACATTTAATGTGATAATTAGATTCAATATCAAGCACTCCCAAAATCAGTAAGTTGTGTTTCAGGAAATTCATCTTTGTTTTCTTTGATTTCGGTATTGGGCAAAGTTATACAATTTGAACTATGACATGTATGATAATCAAATCTGATGTTCAATGATACTACAATAATTAAAAATACTGCAATTATTCTATTGATATCTGTAGATCCTTAATAATAGTATAGCAGAAGCAAGAGGTCTTGAACCAGACCAATGACTCATAGCAATGAACACTTAGAGGTAAAAATGAATGAACTAAAGGATAAACTGTGTGACTCACCAAGCCACACTACAGTTTCCATGATGACATAATTTTCCATTTTTTTGTTGTTTTAGTTTGTTCTTTATTTTAAATTTTGTTTTGTTTGGGGGAGAGGTTTCAAGGGCAGAGGGCAGATGTGAGGGGACAGGGAGGTAAGTGGCATCAGGATGCATGATATGAAATTCATAAAGAATCAATAAAAGTTAACGAATTTTAAAAGTATGATGACTAGGAGGTCTAATCATAATCATTTTCACAATATTCATCATATATTCACAAAGTAGTAACTATGAATGTACCATGAATTTTATTTCAATAGATTTTTAAAATATATCTATCAAATAACCAAACTAGACAAGTAATAACCCTGGCTAAAAAGCAGTTTTCCAAATGTTTCATTGGAGCTTGCGCTTACATCTTATAAGTATACCACACTCTCTTTATTAATTTCACAATTGATGGGAATGTAGACAAATTTCCAATCTTAGGTCCTGAGTAGTAGCAGTGTGCACTTAACATATATGTGAAAGCTGAGTAGTTTGATTTCATTTCCTATGTATACATAACAAAAAAGGGATACAGGGATAATATATGGTAGATCTATTATTAGATGTCAAGCAATCTCCATATTGTTCTCCATAGTAACTAAACAAAATCACATTCATGTCATCAGATTATGAGCTCGTTTCCCTCTACACAATCAATAGCATTTGCTATTTTAATGACTCTTTTTTTGTAATACTATTCTAACTCGATGGTAAGATATCTATCTCATGGTGAATTTGATTGGCAGTGCCATGAGAGCTTTGGTATTAAGCATTATTTTCCTCATTGGCATGTGTATTCATTCTTTTGGTAAGTATCGGTTCATTTCCCTTCAGTTTTTTGTAATCTCACTTGCAAAAATTACTTAATGTCTTTCATGTATCTTTGACATAGGAAACCCTATACTACAAATGTAAATCACTCACAATAAAGAGCAGACAACCATTTTCTCCAATTCTTGAGTTTGTGTATTACATTTACTTATTATCTTCCTTCTGACACTGAAGTACTTGAATGTGATAAACTCCATTGCCAAGAGTTTGCTTTTATGCTTTGTGCTTTGGGATCCCATCCAAAATAAAGTGTCTAAACCTACTTCTGTATTTCATGTTATTTTTCCTTGTAGTTTCCTTTGTTATTACATTTTTTGTTTGAACCACTATGAGTTCATTTTCCAGAATGAGAGACAGGAATCAAATTTTAATCACCTCCATGTGGATCTCAATTTTCCATGTATCATATGTTGAAAATAATATTCTTTTTTCCATTGTATGTTTTTAGAACTCTATCAAGAACAATTAATTATATGTGCATAGATCACTTTCTCAAATATATATTCTCTTTCTGTACTTCACTTTTTATCCAAATGTCATAAAGTTATGGTTGCTGTGCTACTGGTGTATCTTGAAACAATATATTATGATATCTCTCTATTTTTATGTTTCAGTTCTTTTTCATTGTACTTCCATGCAAATTTTAAAATTACTCCTCATACCTGTGTGAAGAATGTTGCCCATATTTTAATGGAGTTTCATAGAGTCTCCTAATTGATCTGGCAAACAAGAATATTTTCACACTAATTCTTCCAACCCAGTAACATGAGATTTCTTCATTTTCTTTTGCTTTGGGAAATTCTTTCATCAATTAACTTAAGCATTCAGAAGTCCTTCAGTAAAACTCATTGCTGGACATTTTTAGATTAATGTGAGTGAGATTGCTTTTATTGTTAATTCTTATAAAAATGGATTTGACATATAGAAAATGACAGATTTTTTTGTATAATGATACCCATTTGTTTCTTAATCAGATTTGTTTTCAGTTCTAATATAGGTGCTTCTTCAGGACATTCACATATGGCAATATATACTTTCAAATAAAATAAGTTGACTTCCATCTTCATGTTTGAATACTGACTTTCCCAGGTTCTATGAAAACAAGTACTCACGCAAACATTTTGGCTTCTGTGACCACTCTCCATTTCTACATGTTATTGTCTTGTTGCCCTGCAGCTGGTACAAGGACTGGCACTGATATTCAACTGATGATGATGGGGCATATACTGATAGAGGGAAGGAGGTGATGTCTCCATTGTCAATAGGTGGTGGAGGCCCACATGCCTTTGTTGAATCTGAGAACACATATTTGATGCTTGAGAGATCAAGTCAAAGTACAAGTACAAGTTATACTTTTCTGCCAGTTCCTAGAAGTAGATGGTACCATGAAAGCTGCTGGGTAGATTGCTAGATCACCTGAGTCACTTGGAAAAGATTTTCTCCAGCCTGTTGAACTGCCTGGAGGTTTTGCAGTATACTCCGTGTCCCAGATTTTTTGAGCTGTCACCAATGTTGGTAGAGAGGGGCCATTTGTGATACCATTTTTTTTGAGTAATTTGTGCTCCTGTAATTCAACTCTCATTTATATTTCTAAAAGTAAATTCAATAAAACTCATGGTTCATCATGTTAGATTTTGGTGGTATCTGTACATTGGTCATTCTGGTCCCCTTATCTGGTGTGAGTAGATCTTTGTGTATTTTCTGCATAGAAAAAGTTTTGTCACACAACAGAATTGTACATATGAATACTTTAATCTTAATTTTCATCTTATTTTCATAGATGCTAGAACCTACTTTAAGGCCATGGCTAACTAAATGTTTTCCTAAAAAACTAATAGCCCTTCCCTTGATTTCTGTTTTAACACTGTATTGTAGAAAGCCCTGATTTCATAATCCTGAACAGTTTATAATCAGAGAGAAATTAATGATCATCAATTGTTTAGTTTCATTTTATTTATTTGGGGCTACAAGTTTCTTCTTTTTTTGTGATAAGTCTTCCTGGACAATCCAAACTTGCCTGTAAGTCAGGACCATCATGTCTTGTCTCCCTAAGTTCTACAATTACAGGTGTGTGCCACCTTGCCAGGTATTGAAATCCTTAATGAATTAAATTTGAGTGGAGCCTTGGGCTGAAAATCAAGTTTCTCAGTCTGCTGCTATCCTTTTAAATTTTCTACTCTGTTATTGTCCTTCATCTTCTTCCCTCACGTTGTTCAAGTTTGCATGACCATGCTTCATACTGCCAATATGAATACTTTAAATAAGAGCTGGTATTTATGATAATAAAACACTTATATTCTAATCAGAGATATATGATACACACAGGTCATATACATGAGCCATTAATATAATATTTTGTTTTTAAAAACATTGATTCATTATGTAGCCCAACATGTTGTCAAACTGAAAACATATTGCTCCAAGGTTCTAAGTGCTGGAATCAAAGTATGTGCCATCACACCTGAAGAATGTACTATTTAAAAAATATATTATCAGGCCAATGAGAAGGATTAGCTACTGCCAGTGCTTGCTTATAAGCCTGGTGACCTGTGTCCAATCCCAATGACTCACATGATGAAAAGAGTGAGATTACTCTCATAGGCATCAGACGTCAGCATGTGCAATGTAGAATACACTCATTCATCAATACCCACATGCATGCAAATATACGGGGTAAATAATGCAATGAAATAATAAAATAAATTCTCTATTTCTCCTTTCAAATAGTTTTTTATCTATTAGTTTATATTAAATCAAGGAAGATTTTAGGAAATTCAATTTTTAAAAGTAAAACATACATCTTTATTTTTGTTTTGTAAAAAGAAAAATTGAGAATAGTACTCACCAAAACATGAAGGAATATCAGACCAGCCATCAAAATTGCATGTTATGGAGTCTTTCGTATGTTTATGTTTGTTTTCATATCCATCATTACATTCATAGTCTAATTTATCATTGAGTTTAAACCATGTGCTGTTATTTTCTGTTCGAGCATTCTCAAACACAGGCCTTTCACAAGAGTCTAATACAAAATAAAATTAAAGATTTCATTTCTAATATGTCAATGGATAATCTGAGTAATACTTTTAACAAGAAAAATGGCTTTATAGGTTAATAAATGCTAATATATTAAATTCTATATAAAACATATAAGAAGACCAGAAAAGGATAATTTTACTGAAACACTTATTAAACTGAAAAATATTTGCATATATAACATTTATTTCCTCATTTAGGATTTCACAAAATTTCATTTTAAAAATAATTTCACAAACTCGATTTTCCATATTTTTATCACATATTGCAAAGAAACAGAGAAGTGCAGATCTATTTTTAAGGAATGTATTATAGCATTTTGGGAACTAAGGTTTCATATTTAGTACTTAATATGAAGCATAGAATTTAGAAAAGTAGATTAGCTGAATTTAAAATTGATACAATCATTGTCTTATATCAAAGGTTTTCTTTTTATCAATAATACAATCCAATGTAGAGTTATTAATTATAATTAAATGTAAATGAATACTACATGGGAATAATATTAATTCTTTTTTCTTTAACTAGTTCCTGTAAAGTACAATGAGTGAAAAAGATTGATACTAAAAATGTAATGAATATTTTAAAGAGTCCTTTCTTTTAAGATATGTTAATAGTTCTTGAAAAAACCCTTTGACTCTCTTTTTCCTATCCTGCAGTTTTTCAGTTCTAAGCCCTAGTAGCAAGAGTTCCAACAGAATGCTGCTGCTTTACTCAAAGGATTGTGGTGCAGGTGTAAGAAAACATATTTGTGGCAACATCTTATCCCCCAATAAAACTTTCTAGCAAAACATTTGCTAATGCTTATCTACCATACAAGTATCAATGGGTAAACTAAATACACAAATCTGTGAGATGACAACCAAGAGCATGGAGAAAGCTGGCTGCATTCAGCATTCATATTGAAAAGGAACATCTTCTCAGTGAGGTAACTGAGGCTCTCTTAATACATTAGAAAAAAGCAGAAATTAAAGTAAAAGTGGTAGGGTTAGGGGAATCATGTCCAGAAGAGAACCAAACAATCAGAAAATTAAAAGAAATTATATATGTAATGCACTGACACATTGCAATATAATATGAACTTTAAACTTTGAAGTATAAAAAGTTCTTAAGGCAATAAATTTTAAACAGATTTATTAGATAAAAAGTAGACATGGCACAGATTACCAATATCAGTAATTATGGTAATTATACTCTTTCACTCTTTTGGTTTTTTTTTTTACACAAATACTATTAATTTAAATCAAACTTTCTAGTAATACATGTGGGCCAGGTTGGTGTGGGGGGGTCACACCTGTAATCCCATTTTTTCTAATTGTTTTATTTTATTTTATTTTATTTTTATTTTATCATTTTTTAAAAATTTTAAATAGCTTGTTTTACATGTCAATCCCAGTTCCCTCTCCCTCCCCTCCTCCCGCACTCACCTTCCTCCCCACCCTCCTATCCTATTGCCAAATCCTTCCACATAAGGGATATCAGAGTCTGTCATTTTACTCTGGGTAGGGGCCAGGCACTCCCCTAAGAGTCCAGGCTGAGAGAGCATCCCTCTTTGTGCTATAGGCACACGAAGACTGTTTGTATATCAGGGATAGACACTGATCCACAGCTCAGGGCCCCATAGGTTGCCCAGGCCTTCTTGCTGACACTCACATTTGGGGGGTCCAGATCAGTCCCATGCTGGCCTCCCCACTGTCAGTCTGGGGTCCAGGAGCTCTCCCTTGTTCAGATCAGCTGTCTTTGCTGCTTTTGCCAGCCCATTCTTTGCCAATTTGCTCATCACTCCTCTCTCTCTGTCACTGGGTTTCTTGGGTTCAGTTCAGTGATTAATTGTGTGTTTGCCTCTGCTTCCATCAGTCACAGGATGAAGGCTCCCAGATGGTTATAGACATCAAGTTCATTATCAAGAATGGGCATTCGAGGTGGTCTCTCCACTATTGCTTAGCTTGCCAATTGGTGTTATCACTTTAGATCACTCGAGGTCGCTCTGGTGCCTGATCTGTATTCGATCCTATGATTCCCTATTCCCCCTATTCCACCCTCACCCCCTCAACTTCCTTTTCCCCCATGACCAACTCTCTTGCTCTTCACCCCCTCTCTTCTTGCCAGGTCCCGCTCCCCACCACCCCTCGCCGTGTTCCCCATCCATTCAGGGGATCTTGTCTCCATCCTCTTCTCTTGGGTACTATGCATATATGCATATCTTTTAGGTTCTTTCCTGTTTCCCAGACTCTCTATCAGTGGAAGTGCAGACTGGCACTGATCCATGTCTAAAATCCATATATGAGTGAGTACATACCATGTTTGTCTTTTTGCGACTAGGTTACCTCACTCAGGATGGTTTCTTCCAGTGCTATCCATTTCTCTGCAAATTTCAAGATTCCATTGTTTTTTTCTGCAGAGTAATACTCCATTGTATAAATGTACCACATTTTCTCTATCCACTCTTCAGTTGAGGGGCATCTAGGTTGCTTCCAGGTTCTGGCTATTACAAATAATGCTGCTATGAACATAGTGGAGCAGATGCCCTTGTTGTATGAACTTGCCTCATTTGGATATATGCCTAAGAGTGGAATTGCTGGGTCTAGTGGTATGTTAATTCCCATTTTCCTGAGGAATCTCCATACTGATTTCCAAAGAGGCTGTATGAGTCGGCACTCCCACCAGCAGTGGAGGAGTGTTCCTCTCTCTCCACATCCTCTCCAGCATAAATTGTCTTCGGTGTTCTTGATTCTAGCCATTCTGACAGGAGTAAGATGGTATCTCAGAGTTGTTTTGATTTGCATTTCCCTGATGGCTAAGGATGTTGAGCACTTTCTTAAGTGTCTCTTGGCCATTTTAGCCTCCTCTACTGAGAATTCTCTATTTAGCTCTGTACCCCACCTTTTAATTGGATCCTTTGGTGTTTTGGGAGACTTGTTTCTTGAGTTCTTTGTAAATTTTGGAGATTAGCCCTCTGTCAGATGTAGGGTTAGTGAATATCTTTTCCCATTCTGTGGCCTGCCTTTTTGTCTTTTTGACTGTGTCCTTTGCCTTACAGAAGCTTTTTAGTTTCAGATGGTCCCATTTGTTAATTGTCAATCTCAGTGCCTGTGCCACTGGTGTTATGTTTAGGAAGTGGTCTCCTGTACCAACTCGTTGAAGAGTATCTCCCACTTTCACTTGTAAAAGTTTCAGTGTGGCTGGATTTATGTTGAGATCTTTGATCCATTTGGACTTAAGTTCTGTACAAGGCGATAAACATGGATCTATCTGCAGTCTTCTGCATACCAGTACCCAGTTATGCCAGCACCATTTGTTGAAGATGCTTTCTTTTTTCCATTGTACATTTTTAGCTTCTTTGTCAAAAATCAAGTGTTCATAGGTGTGTGGGTTAAAATTAGAGCTTTCAATTGGGTTCCATTGGTCTACCTGCCTATTTTTGTGCCAATACCAAGCTGTTTTCAGGACTATAGCTCTATAATAGAGCTTGAAGTCAGGTATGGTGATGCCTCCTGAAGTTCCTTTATTGTATAGGGATGTTTTAGCTATCCTGGGCCTTTTGTTTTTCCATATAAAGTTGATTAATGTTCTTTCCAGGTCCTTGAAGAATTGTGATGGAATTGTGATAGGGATTGCATTGAATCTGTAGACTGATTTTGGCAAGATTGCCATTTTTATTATGTTGATCCTACCAATCCAAGAGCATGGGAGATCTTTTCATTTTCTGGTATCTTCTTTGATTTCTTTCTTTAAAGACACAAAGTTCTTGATATACAGGTCTTTCACTTCCTTGGTTAACATTATCCCCAGATATTTGATGCTGTTTTTGGCTATTGTAAAGGGTGATGTTTCTCTGATTTCTTTCTCAGTCACTTCATCATCTGTATATAATAGAGCCACTGATTTTTTTGAGTTTACCTTGTATCCTGCCACATTGCTGAAGGTGTTTATCAGCTCTAGGAGTAATCTTGCAGAGTTTTTTCGGTCACTTATGTAAACTATCATATCATCTGCAAATAGTGAAAGTTTGACTTCTTCTTTTCCTATTTGTATCCCCTTTATCTCCTTTTGTTGTCTTATTGCTGTAGCTAGAACTTCAAGTACAATATTGAAGAGATATGGAGAGAGTGGACAGACTTGTCTTGTTCCTGATTTTAGAGGAATTGCTTTGAGTTTCTCTCCATTTAGTTTGATGTTAGCTGTTGGTTTACTGTATATTGCTTTTATTATATTCAGGTACATTCCTGTTATCCCTGATCTCTCTAGGACCTTTATCATGAAGGGGTGCTGGATTTTGTCAAAGGCTTTTTCAGCATCTAGTGAGATGATCATGTGGTTTTTCTTTCGCAGATTGTTAATATGGTGGATTACATTGATAGATTTTCTAATGTTGAACCATCCTTGCATTCCTGGGATGAAGCCTACTTGATCATGGTGGATGATTTTTCTGATGTGTTCTTGAATCTGGTTTGCGAGTATTTTATTGAGTATTTTTGCATCAATGTTCATGAGGGAAATTGGTCTATAGTTCTCTTTCTTAGTTGTGTCTTTGTGTGGCTTGGGTATCAAGGTAATTGTAGCCTCGTAGAAAGAGTTTGGCAGTAAGCCTCCTGCTTCTATTGTGTGGAATACTTTGAGGAGTATTGGAATTAGCTCTTCTTTGAATTTCTGGTAGAATTCTGCACTGAAGCCATCTGGGCCTGGGCTTTTTTTATTTGGGAGACTTTTGATGACTGCTTCTATTTCATCAGGGGTTATAGGTCTGTTTAGATTGTTTATCTGTTCTTGATTGAGTTTTGGCAAGTGATATCTATCCAGGAAATTGTCCATTTCCTTTATATTTTCAAATTTTGTGGAGTACAGATTTTCAAAGTATGCCCTGATGATTCTCTGGATTTCCTCAGAGTCGGTTGTTATGTCCCCTTTTTCATCCCTGATTTTGTTAATTAGCATGCTCTCCCCCTGTCTTTTGGTTAGTTTGGACAGAGGTTTATCTATTTTGTT